CCACCATCGACTCATTTCAGTTTGCTTACCGGACTAATCGTTCCACAGACGATGCCATATCTCACCTGCTCCACACATCCCTGAGTCACCTGGACACTGGCAGAGGGAATTATGTTAGGATGCTGTTCGTGGACTACAGTTCAGCATTCAACACATTAATTCCCTCTAAGCTTTTCACCAAGTTGACGGATCTAGGACTCAGCTCATCACTGTGTCAGTGGATCCTCAACTTCCTCACAGACAGACCCCAATCAGTGAGGGTGGGAAAAAAAGTCTCTCCCCCCATCTCACTCAGCACTGAGGTGCCTCAGGGCTGTGTTTTAAGCCCCCTGCTGTACTCACTGTACACTTATGACTGTGTAGCCACATCCGACACCACTTCCATTGTCAAGTTTGCTGACGACACTGTTGTTGTGGGCCTGATCTCCGACAACATCGAGACGGCCTACCTGGAGGAGATTAGGAACCTGGAGACCTGGTGCCAGGAGAATAACCTCCTCCTAAACATCAGCAAGACTAAGGAGCTGATCGTGGACTTCACTACAAAGCAGGCGAGGAATTACAAACCCCTCATCATCAGTGGCACGCCAGTGGAGAGAGTGGACAGTTTCCGATACCTGGGTGTCCACATCACTCGGGACCTGTCATGGTCCTGCCACATCAACACCCTGGTTAAGAAAGCCCGTCAGCATCTCTTCTTCCTCAGAAGACTTAGAGACTTCCATCTGCCACTGAAGGTGCTCAAGAACTTCTACTCCTGCACCATCGAGAGCGTCCTGACGGCAAACATCTGCACCTGGTTTGGGAACAGCACCAAGCAGGACAGACGAGATCTGCAAAGGGTGGTGCGCTCAGCCGAACGCATCATTCAATCACAGCTCCCTGACCTGCTGTCCATCTACACCAAGCGGTGCAAGTCCAAAGCTAGGAAGATTATGATGGACCTCCCCCATCCCAACAATGGACTCTTCTCACTGTTGAGGTCTGGGAAGCGCTTCTGCTCCCTTCAGGCCAAAACAGAGAGAATGAGGAGGAGCTTCTTCCCCCAGGCTATTCGGGCCCTGAACCAGGTGTAGGACTGGACTCTCCCACACACGTCACTATAAGACTGGACTCTCACACACGTCACCACACGCACCACCACACATTTCCTATAATCTTATAATTCCTATAATTTATAATCTTTATAATCTCTCCTGCTGTTTGCACATTCTTTACTGTAAATTCCTAAGTTAATTTGTAAATTTTGTAGTAACCTGTAAATTGTAAATATTGTAAAACTTTTTTTTCTGTCATTTAATGGTTGGGCATTGCACAGCTACAAGCATTTCACCCCCATGTCATACTGTGTATGGTTGTGTGTGTGACAAATAAAATTTGAATTTGAATTTGGTACTAAACTGGAATTCACCGAGTTCCTGAGTCTTTTTGGTGCTTGATTTTATACAATCATGGAAGTGATTGGAACACGCGAATTCAATGAAATGAATTTGCTTGGGTGAGTCAACACTTTTGGCAGGAACACAAACCTCAGGGAGTGGTATGTATGTCTTCCTCAAGCAGGCCCTCTACCATAGGCCTGGGTGTTTGAGAGAGAACGTCCAGGAATGGTGATGCTATTTTCTGGGGGATTGAGGAGGTTGGTCAGTAGTTGGTGATTTCATATCTCTAAAATGGAACCTGACCTCCCCCGGAGCAGGTTAGTCTACAGGATAAATTACCACAGCAATGTAATTTATGTGCATTTTTACTCATTACTTCTTATACTGACGTTTTACAACTTATTTTTACATTCATTATACTATAAGAATGGACAACCAGTCATCTTGGAGGGAGGGGACCTTGGGGCTTTTACCTACTTTGACAGGATGGATGCTGGGTGGATAGTGTGTAATAATATATAATTCTATATACATATAGAGTTATATTCTAAAAGCCTGTGTCACCTATGAATAAATTGCACAGCCTTATTGCACATCTAGAACATACCGCATGTGTTCTGGGATGATTTTTATTATATACAGCTAACTTAAAAAGCAGCGCCACATTTTTATAACAATAATAAAGTCAGAAAAGAAGGTCAGCCATGCTTCATTAAAGCTGTTTAATCTTAATGTGTCAGCATGTCAGAGAAATTCTGCTTTAGTTTAATAAAGATCTGACAGCTTTAGTTTCCACCATGTGATCTATTTTAAAATGCATTTAGAGAATACTTACCTTCTGCTAAAGGCTGCATTATAACAGGTGTTTTAACATGTACATATCACTATTTTTTCATATCGATGCATCTGCTGTTAACTATACCACCATAGCCTGGATAAAGAGATTAGGACATGCTGATTAGGCTCACAGGGCTGCTATTGTTCTTGATTTGCATGAGTCAGTGCTGACAGAGAAGATACAGTTTTCTTTCACCATGTTCAACAGCTACATGTCCAATAGAGACAAGTGTGCGTGTGACGTGTACTTGAGTATTGTACTTCCATAAAGTCTCAAACAAGTAAAACAAAGAAAAGTACTAGAGTAGGAGGTAACAACAGAAAACCTTGTGTTAACTGTGTAGATTTTTTCATGTACTGAACTAGTCAACAAAGAAATATGCAGTTTCAATGACTATGAAAGATAACCACGTAAACATTTCTTCTGTTGTTAGCAAGTTCACTTTCTTTCCCCATCATTTGTTTCCTGAAATACTACGTTCAGTTGCTCCATTGTTACCCACTGAACATTATGATGACTTCAGCTGACATCTTAAAATTCACCAGCTGACAGGCGAACCACTTAGGGGCAAGGTTAGGTTGCATTGTAACCACACATTAAACAAACACAGAATCTAACCTACTACCTCTACACAGGTACCAAGCCACCTCGTGCATGTTAAGAGATAGTGTATGGTTAAGGTTGGATCCACATCTATTTTTTTATTAAAAAAATAACTATTAGGCCAAGATGAATGTAAAAGATTTAACTTGAAAGGTAACATCTTCCAGTTTCTGATAATATGCTTGTTTATTATGTGGCTAAAGTGCAATCTAACCATAACATTACCCCTAAGTGGTTTGCCAGTGACCTGACCTGTGTTCAGAGGTAAACGCATACAGCCCAGTTTGATCTTAAGTGGAGCAGACCAGTGCAGACCAGTGAAATTCTCCTTTCTATTGTTGTACAGAAGTTTAACTAAATCCTCACTATATAAGAAAAATTTCAACATTACATCTCAGGGTTTTGTTTTTTTTTTTTTTTGAAAGGATAAAGAAATGTTGCTTGTCGTAAAATAAAAGAAATCTTTCAGTCTAGCTCTTTTGGCTTAAATTGTTAGAATTTAATTTATAAGATTACAGAAAAAGTTTTGGTAGGTCATTCCTCAGACTGTGCTGTAATTGTAAAACAGAAAGCTTTTGTTAATTTGGTCCTTTTCTTGTTTTGTTTTTACTTTAGATCACCTTTTTAAGAAACATACATTTCTATAGTAGAAGGTCCAAAATTGATTCCTTCCTTCTCATTTCCAAAAACCATCCAGTGGGCCGGATTGGGGTTGTTGCCAGGTTGATTCTGGCTTTATGTTTCAGTATAGGTGATGATACTTAACATAACCCTACCCTTGCTTCTGTATTTGGAGATAATCAAAAGCCTTTAGGAGAGCACCTGTGTCTGTTATGTGTAGTACTCTGTCCTTTGACTCTGTGGCCTCCACAGTCCTCCTGGGAAATACTTGAGGGGCTCACTGAGAATAGTGAGCATACTGGCTCCAAAACTACTGCACCAAAATCAAAAGAAGCGGATGTCATATATTTTCTTTTAGTTTTGCACTGCATTCTTCTCCATCCAACATTGAGGGAGAATTGCAAGCGTTTCAAGGACAACTATCTGCACACTTGTGACATCGAGTGATTTCCAAGTTCCTCCTCTTTCTTTTCATTTTCATTTACTTCATTATTAATCCTCAGGGGATGGTTCAGCTCCATCAGGGTTGTAAAAGGCACAGTTCCAAACTACACACTGAACTTTAGTCTAGGCAGTAAACACCTCGCTGGAGAAAGAATGTGAATGCATTATCTTGAAGAAACCAAGTCATAAATGCGAGACAGAGGTCTGGCTTTGAGATTTATTTGCTCATAATTCTGCATTTTTAAAAACCGGTATCAGTTTGTGTGAAATAAAGATAACATTAAACTTGCATAGAATGATCACATAAATGGTGCTGAATTTCCAGTCAGAGTAATAAGGAAATGTTGATAATTAACATATAAGTATCTGATACAGACTGATTATGGTGTACAGATATGACACCCATGCAGAGGCGTCTGCAATATCTTAGATTTTGCTCAAAGTACAGGTTACAAATTACTGTCATCTGGTTGATTACAGAAATATAATGTAGCATTGGTCTGTTACATTATGTCAGAATGTCCATTGGCTCAAAGCTAGTGTGAAGGAGTAAATACTACAATGAACCTTGGGAACTCACTTAACAGCAGTTCCTACTGACCATGTAAATAAAACTATCAACTGTCTAGGAACAGCTCAACAAACTAAACATTATAGCAACCAAGTACTAACTACAGGGATCCAAAGCTACTATGACTTCTGCATATGTTGTGAGAAACAAGGGTACAGTATGAATAGCCAGCTTTGTTATGTTTGAGTCAGTCTAGCTTTCAGTTTGACATTATAGGTATCATTGTTAATAAATAATAATTACACTGATTGCTAGACTACGGTAATCAAAACATATGTTTTGCATGAAAGTTATCAGTAAATTTGGATCATTATTTGCTGACATACTTTGGCAGTTTTAAAGTTTTCTATGAAACCTGAAGAGAAAGATGTAGGCTGAGATAAAGTGAAGGTTAGTTTAAGGTCAGGAAGTGAAATGTGGTTAATATTGTACACACACAGTGCAGTCTGTGTGTGTCAGTGGGAGGGGCCAACTGCAGCACCTGTAATGCACCACCTGAGAAGAGACAGACAGGGCAGTGAACAGAAAAAAAGGAGGAAATACAGAGATGAACACAAAGACATGACTGAACGAGTGAGTTAGCTCTCGTTCTTGTATCGTCTGTGAGTTGGAGCCTTTTAGAGAGACCTTTAGCGGGCTGGATGATGTCAGACGTCCTCATTTAACCACACGGCCTCCTGATGCAGGTGTAATCTTTCTTAGGGTAGTTGTGCGGGAACAAAATGGATTGCGGACACTCTTGTATGAAGAAACGAGGATTGAAAACTGTCAAGTGAAACATTAGATTCCATGTTTCTGCCAGATTGCCAAGACAGCTTATGATTAACTTGGGCCTTGTAAACTCAGACCCACTTTCTGTCTGAGAGAGCGGTGAAACAAAGGTCAGCAGGACAGTGAACGCTGAACTTTTGTGCCTGGAAGCCTAAATTCTGGAGTAAAGAGGCTGGAAAGTGATTGGGAAACTTGCTAAACACAACTACAGCAGGTGAGTCCAGAATCATCTCTGCCTTTAATAAAATATCTAAACTGAGATTTGAAAAAATGACAGCTGCAGCGCATTGTTGCCATGTACGCGTTGCCTTCTGAAGACTTAAAAAATAGAAGTGGCCGTTTGTCATGTGGGTGTTAGCAGCTCTAAAGTCCTTGCGTTGTTAAAGTAATACATTTTATCAATGTCATTACAGTAGTTAATGTTTGACAAACAGGATAAAGATTAGAAAACAAAAAAGAAGTAGAAAAAGATTTTTCTTCAAATATTTTTTTCTATTTTTCATCTAATTCCAAGCAAGGTCCAGTCAGTACATTTGATTAGGAACCACTGAATAAAATTATTTTTACTTTTTACTTTACTTTTAAGTAGCTGCATCTTAATAAACTACTTCTTTCCTTTCTGCATCAGTAGAAAGCTGACATGCTAAAATGTGAGCGAGCAGAGTCACTGGACTGCTGAAACACTGCTTTTATTTATTTTCTGCTACTTTGGCTACATTGTTAATGCTTAATTTTTTATTTAAATTAGCACCGTATCAGATTCTCACTTAATGATCAAATATTGTCATTTTTCTCAACACTGCCAAAATACGTTTTGACTTAACTTTTACACAAACAACCCACAAACAATGTGAGAAAACGTTGGCATTGTAGGTTTTCCACAGGCAGAAGAGTGTGAGCTCAGACCACACATTTGTTTTTCCCCTGCTATCCCAAAGCTATTTAACACTGATAATTGCAGGAACATCGTTTTTTGTTAGTAAGCTTTTATGCATTAATCAGGAAATGTTTCTGAGCTTCGGACATTTTCTCACCCTGCATTCAATCTTTGACTATTAAAAGTTCCAGTTGGATTAATTCAATACATTAAAAAAAAGCGTTACATTCATCAGTGATCTGTGGGTTTTTGGTTTCTTAGGTACGTCTATCAATTTCATCCAGACACATAAAGTCCAGTTGTCATTGAATTTGCCAACATTTACTGGACATACATAACATATGTGCATCTATAAATCTGCTCATTGATTGTACAAAACATTTGCGTTCTTGGATTGTAGAGATGTGCTCCTTAGAGCTGTTAAACTACAGTGTGGTTGTAAGAACATGCATTTTAATGTCTGCTTTGTGTGATCATCTGACAGCACTACTCTGGTCTAGTACCTGCCAGGTACAATACTCTCTCGCACACACACTCACATATCGTAAACATTATGGCTATTAATGCAGAGACTACACCCAGAGCACCATCATATCTGCAGTGACAGTAGTGATCCAATCTGTTCAAAAAATCTTCTAAAAATGTATGATTTTGTTATTTAACAGGACAGTTGCTCTTCCTACAACACAACAGACACCAAGCCAAACTGAATAGAGCGTTGTGGAGCATCATTAAAGGAAGAACCCATTCAATCTTAATTTTCCTTTTCTTTCAATTTGAAACTCACAGCATTGAGCTTGGCAGAGGATCCCTTCTAGATTAACTGTTTTACCTCAAGGTTCCTTTGTGGACTTTGACCATTTGGTGCCACGAAGTTGCTTTTAAATGCATGAATCTCTACTTTGTGTGTACATTACAGGGCAGAGAATCCTCACAATCACGGGTCTTTGGACTCCTGTTTTAAGGCCTCAAGTTGGACTTTGGCCGCCATTATCTTAGTCAGCAACATTTATTGGTTAACAATGTGCATCTGTGACATCAGTCCACTAATCTCATCAGCTAGTTTGATAAATTACCCCCATTTTTTCAGGACCAGTGGATTTCCAGGTCAAGATTTCTTCAGCCAGTTATTCCTTAAAGACAGAGGTGCTGCATGAAAATAAGCAGGCAGACAAACTTTAAACTGCAGCAGTGGCTGTGTGAAGCTTACGGTTGGAGAGACCTGATCAGGGCCCACCTGACTGATTTAACAAAACTAAACCTCTCAGTGTGTCCACCACTGCAGGCTGTGACCCGATGATTATCAAACAACCAACGCTGGCCCCTCTGACCAGCATTCATCAGACAATGGTGATAAATTCTTGGAGGGGCCCCTGTTACTTTTTGCCTAGGGCCCCAACAGACTCTAGAATTGCCACAAATGCAGATAAATGGAAAAGCCTTGAATTTAACATTACCACGCTTACCATCCTCTTTCAGCATCTCAGTATTTGTTATTTAGCATAAATTACAGATGACAGTTTTAAAATATGTGAATAATTAGGGATGTGATCTGATGATCACACTAGAGCAAAAGTCAGAGGCTCACCAAGCTTACTGCAATTTATCCTGATGAGAAGAATAACCTAAATTCGGAGCTACCGGTTGTGAGGACGCATCGAGGAATTGTGTGACAAATACGTGTTTAAGCCGACAAAAAAAAAGAGATTGAAGATTTAAATTTAAACAACAAGCAGGAAATTGGCTGCCGCAGTTAAAAGGTGTTCAAAGACGGTGGTTCAGACGTCGATGCTCGCTATCACTTCAAAGCTGAATAGAACCTACATCAAAAGAGACAAAAGAAGCTCCACAACAGTCAGTTAGCTGAGCGTATCATATGTTCCTGAAACAGAGAGAGGGCATGTGTGTGAGCGAGTAGAAAAGAAACGGAACACAAAATAAAACAATGTGGTCAGTTTCTATTTGCTCAGCTGAGAGAAAAACTTGCCTGGGGCCACAAGGCGATCAGGAGCTGGCCTGCAGCCAGTTTGCATGCCAGCTGGGAGAGTTAGGTGATCTTTAGTTGATAGGTCATTTTAAAGCCGAAATAATAGAACATTATCTTTTTTAAAGGGGCCTCAATGTGAATCAAGCTGGGTGATTTCCTGTTTTTCCCCTTTTACCTATATTAAATTTAATAGTATTTTGCCCCGCCCAGTACGCCCATCATTATGCTCATTGGAACCATTTGATCATGTAGGAGACTTTAACACCATATCACCTGTACTGTCCACATATTGTTGCATAGTTTTAATCAGAGTCTACTGCAGCCAAAGAATAGTTTGGATTTATTTCTTGCTTTGCTGAGAATTGGATAAATGATCTGTACCAATCTCAAATCTGTATGCAAAACACAGAATAAAGTAAAAGAAAAGAAAAGATAAAAGATAAAAGAAAATTAGCTTAGCTTTGCATAAACACTGAGTGCCATGGGAAGGAGTTAGCTTCTCTCTGTCTAAAGTTACACATGAGAGTATTAGCGTGCTAATGTTCAGTAGGTATAACAGTAAAGATTAAATGATAAGAAAATGCCATGTCAGGTTTATTGCAGGGCAGCACTGTTGGCTTCACAGCAGGATGGTCAAACTTCACAGCAAGTTCAATTCCTCCATCTAGTTATTAAGTATAAACACAAAGCTGACAATGCACAGCAAGCTGCAAACCAACCAAAGTGACTGCAACTGCAATTATACTGTAAAAACATGAGCAGGTAGAAATAGAGACGACAATGCAACAAGCTTGCTGTCACACTGTTTTTTTACACACACACACACAAAGGAAGAAGAATCTTTTAAAGTATTGAGAGTTGACTATCCTGTTCGCCTGGGGTCACTTAGCTTTGTCATCCCTCTGAGCTCCTGACTAGCTTTCTGTTAGCTTTCTGTTAGCATGTTATCGATGTAGATGCTTATAGAGAGCTCTTGTTGTGTTTTTCGTTAAACCCTTCATCATGCAAAGAATTGAAAAGCTTTGTAATGCAGCTATCAACACAATTGTTATACAGTAATGCATTATATTACTGTATTACCCAATAATGTACAGTAATTAAATTAACTTGTTAGTTTGCTTTTTGAAATATGAAGTGACCAATTTTCAACCAAGCTTAGTTAAAAAGATACATTAATAAACTGTATGGGTGCAACACACAGGCCCATATAGGGATTATTGCACTAAAAACACACAAGTGGTCAAGGGGTTCACCTCAGCGAGTACAGTTAGTGGAGGTAACATCTATCAAACAACTATTAGATACAGCTGCCAATCAGATACATAGATACGTTATAAAAATGTTCGTGCATGTTGGAGGTTTACTGGGATCAGTGTTGGGGTTATTTCTTCCCTAATGAGGACACACATATGATCTTAGTATTTGGGTATTAACACAATGTGGACGACTCAAAACACAGATGAAAACAAGCCCACTGAGACTTCCAGTGATTCTACTGCAGAAACTTGAACAGATAGAAATGGAGGCTGCTACCTGACTGGTTATCGGTTTGTTAGCTGTTGAAGTCCAGTGCATGGCTGCTAGGCTGGGGTTGGTCACTCAGCTTTTAATATCACTCTGGGTTCTTGGCTAGCGTTAGCATGCTGTCTGGTGCAGATCTTTGCAAAGAGCCAGAGTTTTCTGTTATGGACAGATCACCCTGTAACTCGTGCTTCTGTGCAATAAAAATAAAATGTCCAATGTCTGTAGACTGAGAGACTGAACTGAAATCAGCTGATTGCAGCGCAAAGTGCAAGTCTATCTGATAAGCAGGCAGACTAACAATTCCAAGGAACTGAACTGCTGGGAACCAAAGCTCTATAAGAACTGGTTCTCAATTCCCATCCTTGAGTATATCAATTGTAACTTTAACAGCAAATCCATTCAGTCATTATTATAGGTAGATATTTCAATCTGGGCCAGAATGGTTATTTACTAACAGTAAAGTATAGTAAGATTTACTATAGACCTGCACTCTGTTTATTATTACTGTTATTATTAATATTATTGTGATTGTTACTGTTTAATCTACTAGTGCCATAATTCATGGATTAATCACACTGTATGTATGAAGTTTACAGCGCACATGTCACGTTTGTCAGCTCATCGTGACTCCAAAAATCACACTGAACAAACAGCCAGGAACACGATAAAGCTGTAACATATCATTTGACATCAGACATGCCCCCCCCCCCCCCCCACACACACACACACACACACATACACACACACACTGGGGATTAATCACAATGACTTCCTATATGTTTGCCTTCTTATTCAGCTTTTTTTACACAGACATGCAGGCACACGCACATATAGTAATATGAGTATGTCCGTAGCCACGAAATGTGGAAACTATTGGATTACACTGAAATATTAACAATGCCATGGGCAGAAAGTGTTTAGATACACAGTCAAACACACATATAAACAGAAATTATTACCCACACATGCACATTATTCTTATTAAATACAATTATTTATAACAAATTAACGAGTCTCTAGTTTTCTTATAGCCATCCTAATTAATTTTTTTTCTTCTCTTAAGGTTTATTCCACCCCACATTTTATTCATCATGGCAGAGTCATCGACAGGCTGGTGGAAGCTCACTTTTATGAGGAGAAAAAAATCCCAACCAAAGGTTTTGTATGAAATCTCTCCAGAATTTGTGTCCAACTCACCCAGCAGTCAGCATCGTTCAAGTGCAGCCTCAGGAGCTGCTGCCCAAACAGAAGATGCCCAGCTGGAAGCCCGACTGGGGAAGATCGTGGACAAGACGACAGCCAGTAAGGGGCGTCACGTCAAAGTGTCACATTCTGGGAGGTTTAAGGAGAAGAAAAGAGTGAGAGCCACACTGGCGGAAAACCCAGAGATGTTTCCTGGGAGTGGCCCTGCCAGGGATGAGAACCAGAAGACTGAGAAGTGAACATTACACAGATGAAGATTCACAAACATGTAAAGACTAACGCAGACGCATTTATGAGAGAAAAAAATACATACCCTGTTCAAACGGTCCAATCAGTCAACAAGAAGGAAAGGAAAACAACACAAAATCCAGCCAAGGATCTCTGGTAGATCTGTATCTTGAGGCACTTTCAGTCTGTTTTCAGCTTTGGTGATTGTCAAACACATGCTGCTGATAGTAGGACAAAAGGTGGTTACAGGGATTTGAACAACTGTTTAGTCTATTAGTCTAGTCTCTGTTTTTAGTCGAAACCCTGCCTCATCACCTTATAAACACCACTGGATCACCTGGACTACAGTTCAGCTCAGACACACACATGGACTGTATCTACACAGCAATGTGTCTTTAACTCAGGCTCCAAGCAGAAACTGGATAGAACACGAGCTATGACAGCATAAATGTGTCATATAGCATATTTAGTTCAATGCTTTAACAATCCAGACCCACTGAGTGGTGATACTAGTAGTGCAATAAATAGTTTTTCAAATTAATATCATTTCAGGTCCCGGTGATCAAATATCCATGAAAAGTTTTCTCTCTTCTTTCCTTCATGTGTTGCATTGAATGCATTTAATTATAGTTGAACTTTTGCACTATGATAATGGGCACAAAGAAACACTTCATCAAATGACTGGTTCAAATAAGAATTCCCAGACTGGCTTTAAAGAATTTCTTTTTCTCTTTTACCACCATGTTATAGTTTATCAGCAGATATTTCAGATTTCAACAAACTAAAACAATATGTGGATATTATTTCTTTCCAATAGAAATGTGGAACCACATTGTTTTGTTTCTGTTTTTCAAACAAAATTATCAACTTTTTGTTTGTTTGTATGGTTTTATTAACATAAAACAAAACAAATTCTACTAGAATCAAAATGTGGCACCATTAAAGCACAACAGAACTACTGGGTCAAACAATGGAACCAGTAAAGTTAGTGGCTACAGGACTGAAATCCACCATGGTTTCTTTAAAAAGAAATGACCCCACACTCTTCAGACTCTTCACACTGAGTTAAATGCTGGGGAACGTTCACCTCTGAATTTCCACAACTGACCATATCAACCAGAAGTTTGAAGGCAGATGTTAGAAGTCACTGATGTTAATGTCTATAAAAATGAAATGCAGGAACTTGTAAATTATGGGGGGTTAACTAGTAATTAGTAACAATTTATGAAGCTTTTTCACTTAAATTGTTTACCCTTTTCATAAAGCTCTTTAAGTGAAACCAGCGTACTCTTTCCCAGATCTAACACTGAGGGAGAAGATGCAGCCGAGTAGTGAGGAAACAGAAGGAAAATTTTAATGTCATTGGTGCGATAAGTTGTGGTGAATAGCTAGCATGTTGAGCTTCGCTCTCGACCAATTCTCCAAACTCATCGGGACATATTTCAGGTGTGATACACATGTATGAATGTTCTAGAATTGAGAAGAAACGTGACTGTCTGACAGCTTTCTGGACACTGGACACCATGAGGCAGTTGTGTCCTTGCAATGAATTTGAATATGTCCTGATTTTTGTCCAATGTGTAGCAGTAAAGAATGCTTGTTTCATGTTTTCTTTTTTTCTTTGTAGATCTATAGAAGTTTATCTGTTAAGCAATATAGTTTGTGTGTGATTTTTTTTTGTTTTTGTTTCGGGGGGGGGGGGTTGATAAAGGTCATTAAGCAGGAGTGTCTAAATAGTTCCAGTTTAAATCATGTTTCTTCATGTATTTTACTAAAGCAGCAAACCTGGAGTAAGAACATTGAGCTTGCTGAACAGACATTATTGAGGTGCTCACGGACACCCACACATTCATTTCATCTCATTTGTTATCCAACAGAGGAACACATCCAACTCTGACTCAAGTATTGCCTTATCATTTTAGCTGGAGAAACACGCTTTTCCTAGAATCGCCCACTAGAGGGTGCCATTGTTTAACTCAAAATAGAATGTCACTGTTCAGCCGCTGCTCATCGTTGGGGTTTTTTTTTTTCTTCTTTCTATTGTTCTATTTCAAGAAAGGCCAGCAACCCTGAAAGGTGCTGTGTCCACAAAAATAGAATAAAAAGGAGCTTGCAATTGACTTAAGAAGCTTGTTTCAGAAAAGTGCTCATTTCTTTTATAGCATCTACACTGCAAACATCAACTTTTAGTCTGTTTAGTAGTAGTGTTTAGTTTTAACTTTGTGTGATATTAAGATGGTATCCTTCAGTTCTTTATTCAGTTCAATTCTGCAACTGATTCGACTGTAATCACCTGATTTTGGTACTTGGCATTGCTATTATACATTTGTAATATAAATAATTGCTATATGAATAAAACCTGCAACTTTTAACCCCCAAATGATTTGCTTTTGTGGTGGGTAGTGCTATCAGCTGTGCAACTATTCCTTTTTTACAGAATCGTCCTCGACAGCTATTCAAAAAGTTATACAAAATGAAACGTCATAAAGAGTGTGACATTGTTTGATAAAATTATGCCCACTAGTGGTTAAAGGCATAATAAACGGACTATTTGCATGTTTGGTTTTGCAGCAGTATAATGAACCCAGTGTTACAATTTAGTAGTAGAAGAAGAAGAAGAAGAAGAAGAAGAAGAAGAAGAAGAAGAAGAAGAAGAAGAAGAAGAAGAAGAAGAAGAAGAAGAA